GAGTGTGGTAGCCTTGAAGTGAGGTGGGAGTGGATCTGAGGTGATGGAGTCGGGAAAGGCATCCATCCTAGTGGATGAAGGGTTCTAACTGGTGGAGGCATCACCTCGGCCTTCCTTCACTTGTCGTAGCTCGTCTTGTATGGCTCCGATCTGTGGCTGTAGGTCTCCGATCTATCGGTCAATGGGAGCCTTGGCCTCATCTTGGTTTTCTCTAATGCGAAATGGGTTGGCCTGGTTCCCGGATGCTGATACGTCCTGGTTTCTTTGGGATCGACGATTATTGAGGAGATTGTGGAGGTCTGATACTAGCAAGGGAGATGCGTGGCATTGTCCTCCAGCCCTCAGAGGAGGACTGTAGTGACTAGAGTGCTCGCCTTCATCCCAATGGCTCTCTGCATGATGGTAATATTCATGGTCCTAGCAGTTGTTAGGGGACCTAGCTGGATCATCTCCCCATTGGCTGGGGAGACAAGATGTCTTCGACGGCTTGTTGGGATGTTGGCTATTGTTGTTGGACGTTGAGGGGTCATCTTTGCGATGGCCGGTGGGGCATTGGACCAGTGAAGCATGAGTAGAGCGTTCGCTGTACTGCCCCCGACTCCCAATGGGACGGATACCTTGTGGGCGGCCTCCTGCCGGGCACCCCACCTCGTCTAGTCTCTGGGTGATATTGTCTAGTCTATCAAGGGCCATTTTGAATTAGTCCATGGTGACTAGGTTCTAAGCATTTGAATTATTGTCCTGTTTATCAGCCATTGTTGGAAGCTTAGTTGTGTTGAGTTAAGTGTTTACTTAGGGAAAGTCTTAGCAATGTTTCCCACAAATGGCGTCAATTGTTGCAGCCAAGAATGGGCCAAGGGCAACAAGGTAAATCTGCTTCCTTAGCCGAGGCCGATGTGTCTAATCCTAAGAGCAAGAGATTAGACGTCAGAGGCCCTGGGTGTTATCCCAGGGGCAGAGACTTTAACGATCAAGTTAGTCAAGTGTGTAGGAGGGCTTGGACGAAGCTTGAGGTGAAAGCTCAGACGAGGTCACTCGAGAGCTAATGAGTAGGGTAAGTAAGATGGTTTACTTGGAGAGGGGGCATCCCTATTTAAACTTAACACTGCCTTGGGAGTGGTTGGAGGTGGTTGGCAATGGGTGGCCAGGATTACATCCGACCAATGCCACGTGGTGCCATCCTAGGCCTTGCCACATGCACCTATATTAGAAATGATAAAACTCAAAATCAAAATGGAATAACTAAAAACCCTAACTAGTTTTGGCCATTTGGGAATAATCGAACAAGGTTTTGAGATATGAAAGTTTCTTTTATCATTTTTTTATTTTTTATTTTTTAAAATAAATAAAAAATATAGAATTAGAAGCAACCCGAGAACTGTTAACTAGGTCGAACATTTTAATGATAAGACTGTCTAGATTAGTAGTTCTTGACCATTTCAATGGTTTCTTTTCTTTCTTTCTTTTTTTTTTTAATAGCGATTTAGGGCCAAAACAAAATCAATGACCTCATCAGTTCCTAGGCAATAAACGGTTCAACCTTCTAGTCTGGTCCGATTTTTAAAACATTGACTAAAATACTAATTTTTTAATTTAGTCCCTATTTAATTGTCATGTGTAAATTGTAAATTGAACTACTACATTTCACCTCATTCAATTCCCTCTATTTAGATATTACATTTTTCTAATAAATGAATAAAGAAAAAAGATCTATCTATACTATATATAAAAGTGTGGATGCAATGTGAAACTTTTTTTTTATGAGTAAAATTACCTCTATTTCTTTGTTAGAAAAAGGGTATAAAACCATTTTATTATAGCTTTAATGGCTACTAAAATGGCCATATTTGTGTATTAAATCTATATCTAATTGTAAGGGTTGAAATTTGAAAATATAACTTCAATTATTGCTTTCCACCTCATTTAGTTCCCTCTCACTAAGTATTATACTTAAGGTATTAAATCTCATTTTCTCTTATTAAATCCTATGTTTTTAAGTTATTTTCACTAATAAATACTACTAATTAGATCTATGTCAATATTTTTAACAATATAATCCCATATATTTTAAAACTAACTCAAAAACAAAATCATTCTTTATCCAAGTGGTGGCTAAGCAATTCAATATTTGAATGAACTGATCAACCAATAAAGACATAGTTAGATAATAAAAATTTTAAAATAAAAATAAATATAAAAAATTACAAAAAATGTAAAAAAATTACCTACATTTATGATATTTTTATTAGTCACATTAAGTGTAATAAATAAGAATTATTTTTATTGATAATGAAAATGAAATACATAATTTATAATGAACAAAATGAAGTATAAATATTAATAATAAATAGTTCATCTTTTGGTTAAAAGAATATGTTAACCTTTAAGGTAATAAATAAATAATAAAAATTAATAAAAAATAAAAATACATAAACAAAAAAATACATAATTTTTGTAAAAAAAGCATTCAGGCACATGTATAATATCATATATTTATCATATTAAACAAAAAGTAAGTGTGACGCATCAAAATTATTTTTACACACAAAAATACAAAAAAAAGTGAACACATCTATAATTATATATTTACACTACTATTAAAAATATAAATAAGATTGTGGAACTTTCTTTTGAACAAAATACTCATTTTTTAATTTAGTATTTATTTAATTGTGAGGTTTAAATTGTAAATTGAACTAATACCTCATTCAATTCCCTCTATTTAAATCTTATATTTTTTATAAATGAATAGAAGAAAAAACACAAAAAAGACAAAATATTATAAAAAGAATAATCTAATCAAGTAGGTAGCCATATCAATGATATTTGAAATTTCACAACTTGATCCAATTATCACATATTTAGATGAGGTATTTATATAATCAAATTTGGATTTTGAAATATGCATCCAATTAATAATAAAAAACAAAAAACATATAAAAATAAAATAAAACAAAACAAAATAATATATATATATATATATATTTGGAAATAAAAATATATATTTTTGAAGACATTATTACTATCATTATCATCATCTAGAATTACCATGTACAATGCATGCTTACTTATCTATACTATTTTAAAAAACATGAATAGCCTCAAGAATATTTCTAGAATTTTGTAAGGACAAAATTTTCCCCTCTATATTTAAATTTAATGATAAAAATGAGGGCAAATAGGATAATTGGTTATTGATATTAAATGAGTTGAAAATAGGTAATTTTAAGATATTCAATTCATTCAATTCCCTCTCATTAAAATCCAACATTTAAGGTATTAACCTGCATTTACCTTCATTAAATCATATATTTAAGGCATTTTTGTTTCTTATCATCATTAAATTCTATTAATTAAATCCATATATAATAAATTAATAATTCCAATAACATAAAAACTAATACTTTTAAAATCTACTTGAAAAAATAGTGTTTTCATATAGGTGGTGGTAAGAAATTAAACTATTTTTGGTCAAATGGGCCAATCCATGTTGCTACAATTAAATCATTAGATAAAAAATAAAAAAATGAAAAAAATTGGGAACATTTTTAACATCATATATTTGACATATTAAACAATAATAAGTATGATAAATAAAGAAATGTTTTAATTAATTATGGAAATGGAATGCAAAATTTGAATAAAACCATTTTCCTATTCTATCTCATTAATTTCTATATTTAATATATATATTTTTCTCATCATTAAAATTTACTAATTAAATCTTCAACATTAATTTTAATAGTATAAAAAAATATTTCAAAAAAATAATTTGAAAACAATACCATTTTCTTCCTTCCTGATGGTGGGTAAGCAATTAAACCATTTAAGGTCAAATGGATTAATAAATAATACCATAATTAAATAATAAAAAATTAAAATAAATAAAATATATAATACAAAAAAAGAGTTGGGCATGTCTCTAATATTGTATGTTCATTATACTAAACAAAAATAAGTATGAAATATAAGAAGTAGTTTTATTAATGATGAAAATGGAATACCAAATTTAAAATCAACTTAGAAATAAAATGATTCCATAGTGAAATAATAAAATTTTTAAAATAAAGAATACAAAGAATCACAAAAATTAAAAAAAAAGAGAAAATTTAGGCACATATCTAATGTCATATATTTATAAAAAAATAAAATATTAGGTACATCTCTGATATTATAAATTTATTATATTGAATAAGAATAAGAATTATACATAAGAAATAATTTTATCAATGATGGAAATTTAACACAAAATTTAATGTCAACCTAAAAATCAAACTATTTTCCTTTTTGGGTGGTGGGTTAGTAGTTTGGGTCAAATGGATTAATCGATGATACAATAGTTAAACAATAAATCTTAAAAAAATAAAAACTACAAATAATCAAAATTATATATATATATATATATTATGTTAAACAAAAATTAGGTGTAATAAGTGAAAAATATTTATAAAATATAGATGAACTATATAATTTAAAAACTGATACGAAAGCAAAACTATTTTCTTATCTAGATGGTGGGTCAATGATCCAACCTTTCAAAGAAACTCATGATGTCACAATTGAATAATAAGTATTTAAAAAAATAGAACATAAAAAATGAAAAAGTACAGAATTTTGTTGAAAACATTTGGGAACATTTGTAATATTATATATTCATCATATTAAATAAAATTAATTGTTAAAGTAAAATTATTTTTATTTATAACAGAAATAGAATACAAAATATAATAATAATAATAATAATAATAATAATAATAATAATTGTTAATATAATTTAAAATTTCCATGTACAATGTGCATGCATATTTACTATAAATATTTATGTTTATTTTTAATTAAATTATTACTTTTGTTAATTTCTAATTTCTATCTTAATTAATATATAGAAAATTTTCTTAATTGCGATGCCCGTGCCTAATAGATAGAAATAAGAGTAAAACGGGTATTCAATGCATTATACCAACGTTTTCCGTCCAATAACAAAAGGGAGGTTTTTGTGAAAGTGGAACCCTAAAGGAGGTTTTATATGGGGAATCCAAAATCTTTGCGGTTTGCCCTTTCGGTTTCTCTCTCCAGTTGCAGTGACTCGCACAGCGGCGGACGGGAGACGCCATGACGCTGGTTGCAGGTTCATACGAAAAATTTATATGGGGATACCAACTCAAAACCCTAGACTCTCCAACCCTAAAGCCCCTCTTCTCCTACCCATCTCACCTCACTACCATCAAGTGCGTTGCCGTCTCCGGCCCTGTTGCCGTCTCTGGCGGAGCCGATGATACAATCAAAATCTACGACCTCTCGACGTCTTCCGAAGTTGGATCCCTCTTGGACCACAAAGGCGCCGTCACTGCCCTCTCCTTCTATACCCCTCCTTCCCTCTCCTTCCCTCGCAATCTCCTTAGTGGCTCCGAAGATGGCACCGTCTGCATCTACGACGCTGACCCCTTTATTCACCTCAAGACCGTGACTGCTCATAAGAGAGGTGTTAATGATCTAACCATACATTTGTCGGGGAAGTTGGCGTTGACGGTGGGTAGAGATTCGAGCTTTGCGATGTTGAATCTTGTGAGAGGGAAGCGGAGCTTTCATTGTAGATTGGATGAGGAGGCGTCGATTGTGAAGTTCGATTGCGAAGGGGGGAAGTTCTTTATGGTGTCTGAGGAGAAGGTATCGATGCATGAGTCGATCGACGCGAAGCTGGTCCTTGAGATGCAGAATCAAAAGAGGGTCCTTTGTGTTGCCCCAGCCACGGTTAGTTTTTTTCCTACTTTCTAGTTCTTTCCTAAAACAAGTTCGTTTGCAAGCATGTTGTAAAAAGAGGTAAGGCCATAATCAAGTTCAGTATGTATTATTAGAAGTCAAGGGGGGGGGGGGGKGTTCTGGTTTGCAGAAAAAAAAATTGTACTTCATTCATCACAAAAAAAAAAGAAAGAAAAAAAAAGTAATTGTACTTTTTTGAAATCGTTTATTGTTTGCATTTACTTGGCTGCAATTCGGGTTTTCTTTTAAACTGTAAGATAGTTTATCTTGTAATGCCATCCAAGCCATTCAAGGGATATGTTTGATTGAACTGAAGTTCATTCTTAGATAACTTACAGAAGTAATGGGTGCACATCCATATGGCCATATTCACCGGAGGAAATATAACATTCACTTTTTTTGAAATAAATAGTGATGGAGATATGAGGTGCAGTGCATTTGATTCACTTGTTAGGATTATTGGGAAATTAAAGATGACTTAATAAGGGCTTCCAGAAAGTTAGCATATATTGTAAATAGGTCTCAGCGCATCTGCTTGTACATTGATTTGTACATAAATCTTATATGCATTCTAGTCTTGTTATCTATACGTAGAAAATTGCTTCTAAACTGTGTAGCAACAAGGACCTTACCTGTCATTGAAATCTATGGCAGTCTTTAATTAAAACACCTGTTACCTCTTCATTTTCTCTTCCTTTTGCCTTTTTTAGAAAGACCTTTCAGCTGCCACCTCCTTAGTGCCACCAATAAATTTTCCGGAAAACAGAAACTTCAAACAGCCCCAAAAACCTTGCCCAAAGGGTTTCTTTCAACTCTGCAGTGAATCATCAATGATCTGTATCCTCAGAAGCTCCCCCACACATTACACATCTTCTAGGCAGCACATTCAGACCTTGCCTAGCCAAGACATCTGCTTCAAACACTTACCCAGCACTGCCACCCAAGGTTCAAAGTATCTACACAATACGCCCGATACGGGGCGTATCGTATCGTATCTTTGGGCCCTGATACACCTGTTTACAGGTCTTTGCACAACCTCCTTTAAAAGGGAAAAACTAAAAAAATAAAGGCATATTGGTTATAGTACCGATACACCTGTGTATCGATACTTTGAACCATGTTGCCACCCATAATAAAAAAGCAACTTCTGGACGAGCTGCAGTATTCCACACTTTATCTGCTGGGAAGTCCATCATCTCCACCATATCCAGAATCTCTTATCCAGTTATCCCTGCTCATACTATCAGGTGTAATGGTAGAGATTTTCTGCATCATCTCCATCCACATCTCAACCTCCCAGTTATTTAGATTCCTTCTAAACATAGAGCACCAAACTACTGAACCTCCTACCCAAGAAAAGGTCTCAGCAACCAGACATTCTTTGTTCTATGCAATCTCAAGGAGGGTAGGGAAGCTCTCTTTAAGTGGATGATCTCCACACTAAGTATCAGACCAGAATTTAATCCTGGTGCCATCTCCCACTGTATACTTGATACCTTTTCTAAACTCCACAAGAGCTCTTTGAATGCTCTCCAAACAGCACACCTATAGGGTAAGCTTGTCTCCCTTGGCTACCAGCCTAAATCACTAGCACCATATTTAGCTAAAATAATCCTTCTCCATAAAGAATTGGACTGCTCATTCCATCTCCAAAGCCACTTGGCAAAACAAGCCACATTAAACTTCTTAAGCTTCCTCACCCCTAAACCCCCTGCTTTTTTTGGACTACATACTTTGCTCCTCTTTACCATATGCAATTTAAACTCATTCTTCCACCCTTTCCACAGAAAGTCTCACATTTTCTTTTCAATTGCCTTGGTAGTAGTGCTAGCTGGATTGAGGAACAATGATAGTAAGTGGGTAGGGAGGAAAGAACACTCTTAATCAAAACTAGCTTCTCCCTTTCCAAGATGCCAACCTTCTCTTCCCCCTTTCCACAATCGGCTTCCAAATTTTCTTTGCATTTCATTTCTCCCCTAAAGGCATACCCAGGTATCTTGTGGGCAACATACCTACTTTGCAGCCCACACTATCCGCCTGCTGTGTAGCACTCACTCCCTCTCCTATTGCCAAAGAGTTCACTCTTATGAAGATTAATCTTAAGCCCAGATACCACCTCAAACCATGTGAGAATCATACAAATGATTCCATTTGCGCTTATGAGGCATCAACAAAGAACAAAGTAGCCTTCAAAAAAAAAAAAAAAACAAAGAACAAAGTATCTTCTGCATATTATAGCAGAGTCACCCCTCTCTCCTCACCCACCCTGAAGCCATCCAAAAAACTTCCTTCTACAGCCCTGTGAATCATTCAAGGCTTTCACAACACAAAGAAATTGAAATAGAGAAAGGGGATCCCCCTGCCTCAAACCTCTTGAACTGTAGAATCTACCTATTGATTTCCCATTTAACATAATCAATAAACTTGTTGTTTCACACTTTCATTCAATTCCTCCACCTACTACCAAAGTTAAATCTCTCCAGCATATAGTCCAAAAAACCCCAGTTTACATGATCCCAGGCTTTTTCCATATCAACTTTTAGTAACACCCCCTGTTCCCCACTTCTCAATCTTGAATTATAAGCTCATTTGCTACTAAAATCCCATCTATAATCTGCCTCCCTTCCACAAATGCACTCTGAACTTCAAAGATTAGCATCCCCATGATTCTACTCAACCTACTTGCCAACACTTTTGCAAGTAACTTGTACACACTTCCTACCAAACTGGTTGGTCTATAGTCTCTTAGACCAACTGCTCCCTTCTTTTTCGGTATTAAAGTTATGAAAGTGGAGTTTAGGCTTCTTTCCAAGGCTCCATTATTGTGAAATTCTTCAAGTACCTTCATCAAATCGCCCCTTATGAAGCTCCAACTAATTTTATAAAATTCCATTGTAACCATCTGGTGCTGGTGCTTTATCTGCTTCCAACTCTTTGATTCCCTCTAACACTTCTTCCTTGGTAAAGGCCGTCTCCAACAAACTTGCTTCCTATGCAGTCAGCAGTCTGAAGTCCAAACCATCTAATTTGGGCTTCCAGCTCCATCTTTCTTTATAAACCTCTTGATAATAATTAATGATAGCCCTCGTAGCCTATTTTCCTCCTCAATGACCCCCTTCTACCTCTAACCTCTTGATACAATTTTGTCTTCTTTTTGCCAGTTGCTAATTTATTGACGGAGGTATTTTTATCCCCATGTTTTAGCCATAAACACCTGGACCTCTGTCTCCACTTTATCTCTTCGTGATAACAGATTTCGTCAAATTCCTTCTTAGCATTGATCCTCAATTTTCTTCACTTGTTAAAACTCTTATCTCTTCAGCCCTATCCACCCTTGAAAGTCTGCCTTGCTCTATTTCTTCAAGTTAATTAACTTCATATCCTACACTTAGAAGTATTAATTCAAGAAATTCTAAATGAACAGAAAATTTTTATAGGAGACTTAAATGAGCATGTAGGGAAAAGAAGTGTAGGATATGATATGGTGCATGGAGGATTTGGATTTAGGTAGAGGAATGAATCAAGAGATACAATAGATTTTGTGGTAGCTTATGATATGCCAATTTTAAACACCTTTTTCCAATAGAAGGATGGACACTATAACATTTAAAATTGAATTTAACATGAGTCGAAAGAAGATAAGCATGGCCCCTGTGCAAGGATGACACACAAATCGAGAAATGACCCAAATTTTTACAAAAAGTCCTGAAAAATACAAAAAAGTAAGAGTAGGGGTGGCAAATGGGTGGGTTGGGTAAGGGTTGAATATCAACCAATCCATATTGACCCACCAAGACCCATAATCAATGCTTGTTAAAGGGTCATAACCCACCCTAACCCTGACCCACCCATATTGACCCACTTGACCCCCCACCCATATACTAATCCACCTACTCTCACCTATAAATACAGAAACAGGTTGGGCTGACCCGTATACCCAAAATAACAACTTTTGAGAGAACCACCTCTCTTGAGGCTGTCATGTGCTATAAACGGGTCGGATCGGTCCATATACCCGAAATAACATTTTTCGAGAGAATCATATCATAAGACTATCATGTAGTGGAAATGGATCGGGGTGACCCATATACCCAAAAGCAACATTTTTGAGAGAATAATCTATACCAAGGTACCACATGGCAGAAATGGGTCGGGTCGACCCATATACCCAAAATGCAAAAATTATGAAAAAACAAAAAACCTTGCAGAAAATGCAAAAAAATACCAGAAAATTTGCAAAACTGCAAAAAAAAGGCAGAAAAATTGCAGAAAATTTGTAAAAAATGTGAAAAAAACCAGAAATTCCAAAAGATTTGTATAAAAAATCAGAAAAATGCGGAAAATACCAGAAAATTGCAGAAATGCATGAAAACACCAGAAAAATGCAGAAATTATGCAGAAAATTCAGAAAAATACAGAAAAATGCAAAAACAATGCAGAAAATGCATGGAAACACTAGAGAAATGCATAAATTATGTGGAAAACACCAGAAAATTACTGAAAATGCAGAAAATTGTAGAAAATGCAGAAAATTGCTGAAAATACAGAAAATACCAGAAATTGCAGAAAATGCAGGAAAATAGCAGAATATGTAGAAAAATACCATAAATTTGCAAAAAATGCAAAAAATATCAAAACAATTATAGAAATGCAGAAAATAGCAAAAACATTGCAGAAAATTTAAAAAATGCATAACTTTTGCAGAAAAAATTAGAAAAATGCAAAAAAGATACCAAAAAATTGTAGAAAATGCATGAAAGCACTAGAGAAAACATGAAAACATACCATAAAAACATGGCAGAAAATGGCAGGAGGAAGCCTTGACCTTTACTCAGAAACCCTCGACCAGAACTGAGACTTTCGAATTACTAAAACCAAGGATTAAAGTATTGGTATCGGGCATTGTATTGGATAACATGGATATGGATATGCTTTGGAAATGCATGGATACAGACAAAAAATATGGAAATGTATGGATACACTAGGGAAATAGTATATTAATACATAGAAAATGTAAATTTTAATGATATATATGAAGAAATATATTACAATTAATATCCTGGGATGCATAGATATCATATAATTTTATTTATAATGGATCAATCAAGAGTGCAGGACACTAAACATATACACTTATTATATTTTAATTATTATATCAATCATTATTTTATTTTACTATTTTAATTTTTTAAATTAACAAAAAATCATCTCAAATTAAATATCAATTGATAATTTATAAAAATATAATCTTAGCTTAGAGTATATCAAATTTATTAAAATTTCTAAGGTACATATCATATACAAATTTATAGTTTTTAATTACTAAAATAACTTTTCATTATTAATATTTTTATTTATATAAATTTGATGAAATAAAAATCTTTTTTTTTAAATAAATGTTGATTAATGGATTTGATAGATTCTATTTAATATTGTATTCTTCAACATTTTTATTTATAATATTTTTATTTTTGTATATAATAAATATTTTGCTATTACTTATTAATGTAAATTAAAATATTAGTTAATAATTTATAAAAATATATAAAAATTTTAAGATTTATATCATGTGTGAATTTATAAATTTTAAGTATTAAAATAATTATTCTATTATTAATAGTCTATTTGTATAAATTTTTTGATATTAAAAATCATTTTTTATATAAATGTAGATTTGATAGATTATTTATTCTATTAGTTTATAAAATACTATTTATTATTATTATTTTTTAATTTTTAGTTAGATTTGTTAAATATAAATATGTGCTTTTTGGTTAAATTGTTTGTGAACACAAAAAGTTAATAAAATCTATTTTATTTCACTTTTAATCACAAAATGAAATATGGCTTGGTGGCTTGGAATTGGAGCAAGATGTGGACGTGCTTGGTAGCCCTGAGTTCGAGTCACCTCAAATGCGTTTTTTAGACTTGGCGAAACCATTGACCCAAGTACCCAACCCATCTTGACCCTAATGGGTACCCTCGACCCAACCCACCTTGATCCTTTTCCACTGACCCTAATCAGTTGCTCGACCCATATTGACCCGCCAATAGAATGGGTGGGTATCAGTGGGTTCCAAGGTGGGTGGGTTGGGTGGATCAAATGGGTTGGGGTCACGATTGCCAGCCCTAAGTAAGAGGCAAGAAGATGCTAGAAGTTTGGTCCATATCGGGGTAGAGGCATTTGGGAAGGGGGAGATGGGGGAGTTTGCACATGCAAGAAGCTGGAGGAATGTTCTGAAGATTGAGGCCAAAACCTTCGTACTGGAAGAAGTGTGGATGAGAAGAGTAGTAGCATTGAAGATAGTTGAGTTGATACTTGCAGGAAGAGCAGTTTCTTGGTTCCAAAAAAGTTTTGGAGGGAGCAAAAGAAACAGAACCAAGAAATGATTGGAAACTTTGCTATGTTGAAGAAGGAAGGAGATACTTTGTAGAGAGAAGAGTAAATAGGAACGATTGGTTCATCGGAGTATATGATTATTATGGAGAAGTGTTACAACAGCTTACTTGTTTCCAAAAAGTGTTGGAGGGAGCAAAAGAAACAGAACCAAGAAAWGRTTGGAAWYTTTGCTATGTTGAAGAAGGAAGGASATAYTTTGYRGAGAGAAGAGTAAATAGGAAYGRTTGRTTCATCGGRGTATATGAKTATTATGGAGAAGKGTTACAACAGCTTACTTGTTTCCAAAAAGTGTTGGAGGGAGCAAAAGAAACAGAACCAAGAAAAGGTTGGAAWTTTTGCTATGTTGAAGAAGGAAGGACATATTTTGCGGAGAGAAGAGTAAATAGGAATGGTTGATTCATCGGGGTATATGAGTATTATGGAGAAGGGTTACAACAGCTTAGTTGTTTCCCAAAAAGTAGGGATGCGTCTGGGAGAATGTTGTTAGCAGATGTGACACATGAATGCTCAAGGATCAAACTGGTGTCTGATGATAGTACATAGGAGACTGAAAAGAGTACTAGCAGATGAGACAAAGGACAAAGGTTTGAATGGGATTTCAAAAGCGCAAGCAACCGGTGGAGAAGACATACAATACTCACTCAGAATAATGCAACCGAAAGCCTGGTTTCGTGGCCCAAAAGAGGCATGACAAGGGAGATTGGTGATGTCAGCGAATCAGAAGATAAAGGAGTGGAGCAGGATGGTAGAAGACATCAGAGGAGTGTTAAAATACATAGGAGAGCTGGTGATTGTTCCCTTTGACAATAACAAGGCGATGTTAATCCTTTCAAGGTGCCCTTTGGGCTTTGAGGCTACTTCAGTTATTTGATCAGCATTTAGTGGGGTCTCCGTCTGGATTGGTTTCATATTTGTCATGCCTTCACTTGATTTATATTTTACTTGCCTCTGAATTTGGAGCTTTTTATGGCCAAAAGCTTAAGGAAACCTGATTGTGTATCCAAATACTCTGTGGTGATCATATATAAAAGGTTTATGTAGGTAGAAATGGGAATGATTCTCAGAGGATAACGTGGGTCTTAATCAAATCGGTTCTTCCATTTCATGGGTATTTAATCAATTTGGTTCTGGGGTGGCCCACCAACTCTCTCTCTCTCTCTCTGATTACCACTAATGCATGCCTCAATGAAATGGGATTAAGGGGAGCAATACTAACCACTTCAATTTACAATACTCTCTCTCTAATTGGTTACATCCTTCCAAATTATGAATCTTATATCAAATGGATCTTGAGTGGCCGACCAACCACATAAACTCACTATTCAGTTGCTTATAAAAAAAAAAAAGAAATCTGATGCCATTACAGCATTACCCAGTGTTGGTCCCAGCTATCTG